CATTGCTCACACCCGATAACTCAAACCGCGTATATGCGCACACTTCGCCACATAGCTCACACCACATAGTTTACACAACATAGCTCACACCACGTAGCTTACGTAACATAGCTCAACCCACAGGGCGTACACATACTACGTTACGACACATGCATGCACACTGCAAACCTTACGCGCTACAGTTTACATCATATAGCTTGCAATGCATTGCTTAAACCACATAGCTCATACCGCAAAGCTTATACAACAAAACGTTCACCACATAGCTTGGACAATACACCTTCCACCTTCCACCTCCACGATGCAATGACTCATTGTTCGGGGCCCGCGTTGGCTGAACAGTGTATTGAAGATACTTTCGCCTGCCCTGCTCGAACATGGCGCCTGCGACAAATCTACCAAGGCTCACACCACTTCCAAGCAAAAAACAGATTTTGATGACGTATCCAGGGGAATGGAAAAAATGTGACAAGGTGTACCACGTTCATGTACTTGTCGAAAGCCATGAACGTGCCCACGAGCATCCGCTGGTCCTGCCCGGTCGGCCCGCAACACTTCAGCAAAAGCGCGGCTGCCCTGTTCGCTCCAGTTGGGAGCCCGGTGCGACACGCAAAGAGACCCTGAACAGCGGATCGCCCGAGAGGTGATAAATCCAACGAGTCGCCAGTTATGGTACCGGTGGCCTCATGACAATAAACTCGTCGCCACACTTTCGGCGCAACGGTTGCGTGCACATGCGCGCGTGTGCAAGCACGTTTCTGCATAGCGCATAGCGGATGCAATCTGACGTGTGAACGTGCACGATGCCGGTCCCCATGGACGACCCCATTTATTGGGACCACCAGGACCAACCAGCGGGACCATCAACCAGCAGCACCACTGCTTGGATGGACGCCTGAATTTTCTGGGATAACTCTGGCTCGGGGGAATTTCAGTTGTCGCTCCCAATGCAGGTGCCAGGAGCTACCCCTGACCGCCCACAACCCCGACGATCCGGGGATAGTTGGACGCCTGAATGATCCGGGATGACTCTGCTGCGGGGCAGCCCCGGTCTGGGCCCCAGATGCACAGGAGCTATGCATGATCACCCCCAGCCCCGATGATTCGGGGCTTTGATCCGTCGCGACTGAACAGATGAGGCACCGCAACGAAAATGACCGCTGGCCGAGACTGAAGCCAGCGCCGCAAGGCCATCGCCAAAAGGCCATCGGTCCAGCCAGGGGGGAGGAAACTGTCTGGACCGACAAAGCCATAGACCACCAGCACGATTGGAACCATGAGGCCCAAAAGACGGCAATGTTCAGAATGTACTCCCCTGTTGAAGTTATTCCTAAAACCTAAAATACTCGCGGGCGGTTCAAGAGTTTGATACTCGGGACGGACCAAGTGTTGGCTACGGACTCGTCTGCAGCAGGCCCTCACTGTTGTGAGAGACTGTCGTCCAAATATTACGCAAACATGTTTCTTGATTCGCGGGTCGAGAGCGCACCTCTTCCGGTCGAAGCTAAGCGGGCCGCGCGGAGCTTGAATTAACAAAGAGGGGGGACAGAAGGAGAGGCCTCACGGCAAGGCCAGGAGGAGGCAAAGCCTCGGAATCAGGCGGTGCCGAAGACGACGTGCTTGCAAAGGAACGCCAGGTACAGGAACCCGGTGGCGAAGTACAGGAAGAAGCAAAATGCTGTGGTTGGTGGTGCCGTCAACGGCTCGTCACTCGTCATGTACACCAGCCGCGCGTGGCGGCGAGAGAGGACGCGCCTTGAATCCAAGCGGTGTCGCCCAGGGAAGGTGGAGAGCATGGCTGAGCCGAAGTGCAACGTTGTGCCACCGAACAGGACGCGGGAGCGGGCGCAGTCTGAGGCGCGGCAGCCAGGACACGCCAGGAACATGCCGCCTATAACGACCGACAGGGTGCCGGTGTGCTGCAGGAGGTGGAACGAATCCTGCCCTGCAGTGGCGAGCGCATGAATATAACGCATGCGCACTCGTCTGAAATATTCCTGGTGGCTGTCTTGTTCGTGAAGGTTACATCGCCGTTAATATGCTCATTCTGCGTGGGACCGATCAATCATTCTGAGTGGTTGCCTTGTTCATCTCACTGAAACACCCACTGTGCCTTGCCAGAACATATTGCTGCGTCTCTTTACTGTTTACGTATGTTTCGATGATGCTGAGCTGCGCTGCTGCTACGTTCCCCTGAGGCTGACATGGGAGAGGGTGGATTTGCCGCCTCCTATGGTCAGAAACTCACATGCTGCCTGCACTCACCGCTACAAACCTTGAACGGCCATGGCGCTTCTAGCAGGACTTGCGTACACCAGTAGGTCGAAGAAAGGCAGCACAGCAAAACCAAAAGTGTTTGCCACACATGAGATTGACGAGGCACAGCCTCAGCACATCTGGTGACCTGGTACTAGTTCTTCCCAAGGCTGCATCAAGTGAGCATTGGCAACATGACTTGCTATGTCCTCACAATTCCATATCCGAGGGAATGTGCTAGGCTCATTCTCGTTGACGGTGCTGCCACTCTCTGCTTTCCTGCTGATCCCAGGGTGCCCCTCCGAAATTGTGACGCGCACTCTGTAGTCCAGCCATTGGGCCATGCGGGTATTCCGACCCGACATGGCTCTGGAGTTGCCCGCCTGCCCTGCTTCAATGTGGCAGTGGTGGAGCCAAGTGGCGCGCTCTTCGATCCCATCAAAAGTCTCCGAGGTTCCCATCCCCTTGACTCCTGATTTCCAGCTCTGGTGCATGCGTCGTTCCAGCCTTTCCACTCCCCACCGTTCGCTCCCCAACAAGCCCGTTCCTCTCCAACAGTTGTTCCCTATCATGATCCTTCCGCCGTTGACGGCAACCTGGTTGCCGGAAAGGCGTGCGCCTGCCTGGGCCAAAACAAAATGCTTGTGAGCACCATGCGCCTGCATATTTACTTTCACGAGACGCGCGCTGCACGCACACATGTGGCACAATTCGAAAGTAGCAATGGCAACCGAAAAAACATATCCATGGAGATCTTGGTCCACGCAGGGCCAGTTTTACATGCTCTATGGAGAGCGACCGAACGTCGCAACCAGGGACTGGGCAAGCAAGGCAAATGTATGTGCTTTAACCAAAGACTCGGATACGGAGGGGATGGAACGAGGGGGACAGCTGTGCACCAGCTTACCCGTCCGACCATGGGCGTCCACCAGGTCCACTCGTAACGCCGTATGTCTCGAAAGGTAATTACCCAAAACGGCCCACGACGACCCCAAGACGGCCCGAGCGGACGCCAAGATTGTCAAAAGAGATCCGAGATGGCCCCGCGGCCTCCCAGACGAGTAAAATCACTGAATACAGATTGGTTTTCTTCGCGTCTCCAGAGTTGTTTGGACGTTGCACTTTTCGACTCAATATTAATTGAAGAGGGTTCGGGAGAGACCCCCGAATGCCCAAGGGCCCCGAGAGGACCAAATAGGGAGTTAGAATCCGCTGGCCCTGTCGGCGTGTGTGAATAGGAGTTCTGGGTCCGTCGTCCCCGGGTGTTCCTAAGAGACGATCTTTCATTCGATGTGCTCGTCCATTCCTGGAGACCCTCCCGAGGCACTCTTTGGTTTGTGCGCCAAGGTCGTCACCTCGAGGTGAATCGAGCGAGATCGCAATCGAAGGCGCAATTGAGTCGACGGGAAGCCCCTTCCCTTTGATCCCTTCTCCGCCCCGGGTGGGGATCCTGGGGGGGTCCCTGGGAGGGGTCCCAGGGGGGGTCCAGGGTCAGAATTCGGTCCCCCCTTCCTTTGTCGGGCCGCCTTCGAACAAATTTGGCCCTCCTCCGGCAAATCAAATCCAAGATGGTCCAAGGGGGACCCCAGAGAGCCCAGAGTCGCCGAAAGATTGCTCCGAGACGCCCAAGATGGCCTTCAGACAGCCCAAGACGCCTCCAAGACGCCCCAAGAGGCCTCTGAGAGCACTCCCGCGAGGGGCCCAAGAGGCAGCATTCATCGAATTTCGGGTGGTTTTTGGCAAATTCTCGCGTTTCTGCCTTTGCGGCTTCCCGACGCTCCAAAACGGCCCAAGAGGCCCAAAAGATCAGCCCAAGACGGCCCACGAGGCCGTCAAGAGGGCGCCGAGACGGCCCAAAAGGCCTAAAAGACGGCACAAGAGGGCACCGAAAATCCTCCAAGAAGGCCCAGAGGGCGATCACGAACCGACATTTCGAGATCACAGCCTCAGGAGGCCCCTGGGAGACCCGAAGAGGCTCCCAAGACGCCCCCACGAGGCACCCAAGAGGGCCGGGTAACCTCCGAGGACGACAAACAATCCAGCAAACATCCAACCTGCGAGCCCTGCACGTCCCGAGCGCTTCCCAACGTGAGCCCATCACCCCGCCTTTCGGGGAGACGTACGAACCGGGTACGTGGGACTCGGAAATCCCCGACGAGGTCGTCAAAAAAATGACGAGGCCGAGCCTGCATTTTGACGAGGCCTCCCGCTGCAGACATCCCACAAAACTCCTCCTCGTCAAAATCCGAGTCGCGGTCGTCAAAAAACGATGGCGAACCCGAGTCCTGGCAAACCCGGGTCTTGCGCTCCCCCGACACCGTCCCTGTGAAAACCGGACGGGCGCCGAGCCGCTCCCGAGGAGGCCCGCGCCTGCCGTGGAACCGCTCGCCGGCGCAGCCGCGGAGGTCGGGCCGCGCGGCCGGGGAGCGCGCGCGGGGCGGCTCGAGCCGCGAGGGGGCACCGCGGCCCCGAGGAGGAGGAGGAGGAGGAGGACTAAATGGGCTAAGTGCAAAGCGACCGAGGGGTCGCGCGGAAGGGGGGGAGGCAGACGCCTAGTCGGAGGAGGAGGTGGAGGGGGAGGGCGGCGGCGCGGGCCTTGATGAGGAGGCCGTCGAGGCGCTCGGCGCACCATCGCAGGCGGCCGCCCCAGCCTCAAAAACGCCGACCGAATCCTCCCCTCTCACCATCTGGATCACAGACTCCTCCAATGCGTCCACCGCCGAGACAAACCCCGAGGCCCCTCCATCTCCCTCGGGTGGGGGTCCAGGGGCCTGGGACAAACCACTGCCCCTTACAAGTGCACGAGCTCGAGCCTCTTGGGCGGCGTCTCTGTGCGCCGCCTCAGCGATGGCCCCAGAGGGGCCCTTGTGGGAAGGATGCAGGCCCTTGGCGATCCGAGCAAGGACCTCCTTCCCCTTGGGACTCGGCTCGCCACACTCCTGCAACAGATTGACAAAGCGAAACGTAGCATTGGCCCCGCAATGCGAGCAAAACAAGACCCGCCAACGCGGGATCTCGAGAAGCTGATGTGACGGGTGGGCCTCTTGGCCTCTGAGGGTCCCCCCCCGAGCCTCCACCACCACCGCCTCCCCGAACCGACGCGGGGCCTCCACGGACAGCGACCCCTGAGTGGGGGGCGGTCCAGGACACTGCGTGAGTGCCGACTCGTCGAGACGGCAGTCATCAACGAGAAGCTCGCACTTGGCACAGCGCCACTTAGCAGCACAACGCTCGAACGTGTGAGTGGAGGCTCTCAAGCAGAGGGCACGAGTGGACAGCGGGGCCTGACGAGCGACGCCAACTCTCACCCCACGCAAGACCTTCTCAGGGCCAATACTCTTGATGATGGCCCTTGCTCGGGCACGCACCAAGGCCGCCGTTGCATCCCACTGATCAGTGCAGGGGAGAGGCTCTCGCGCTGCCGTCCAATTCTTGGCAGCTCCTTGGCCTGCCCATGCATCTGCGACAATATTGCCACATGAATAAAAAAGGGTTGGTGATAGCCTCTGGCGTCTCATCCTGATGGGACGGGGTCCACGCCAAGGCCACGTCGCGTCCAGGTTGTTGGTCCAACGCCCTGCGCAGCCTGGCCCAAAGATCCCAGTTCTTGAGACGCCGAGACCAAGCTCCAAGGGGCCTCCGAGTCCAACCCTGGCCCCACCCATTGAGGAGGGGTTTGTGGTCGGTCACAAACGTCAGAGGCCCCGAGCTCTCTTCAACCGCAACACAGAACGCCAATAATTCAGCTCGCGGAACAGTTTGCCGTCGGCCTTCAAGCGAGCCGAAGATGCCAGTGTGGCCTCGCCAAGGACCAGCCCCGTCTGGGACGAGAGCCGCGACCGACCATCCACATCGGCGCCTCCGAGGATCATCTGAAAAGGCTCCTCCAGAGCCGTCCCCGAAGAGCGCGAGGCGCCCATGGGGGTCTCTGCAGGCTTCCCAGCGGGGCTTACCTTCATAATCAGGACCCACCACCTCCACCCCACCCCCGCCCCACGAGGCAAAGGAGGGAGTAGCGGAGGAGAGACTGGGCACACCTCTAAGCCAAAGGGCGGGGTCCTGCTCCAAGCCCGCCAGGGCCTGGGGGACCAAATGATCGCTAGCTGTGACCTCGGGGCCCTCATTCGCCGAACACTTCCAAATGCGATGCGGAAGATCCTCGATGGCTCCAGAGCTGCAACGATCACACAAACGATTGACTTGATACCCTGACTGATGGAGGCGCTCACGGGTCCACTGGCCCCCAGAGACTACGCAATTGTTCAATGCCCAAGACGATATTTTTCCCGAAGCGAGGAACCTCCGCTGCTCAATCCTGACCATGGTCAGGTCGGCCCCGCAGGCGAGGGGGGCGCCGTGCTCGTGCGCCGCCGCCGTCGCCCAGAGCCTGCCCTGGAGGTCCTCCGCTAGATCGTCTAGGACGGACTCGTAGTCGAGGTAAACCAACTCTGCTCCGTCATCTGGGAACGTCCACTGCTCCAAATATTCGTCGTGAACCCGTTGCCAGCAGTCAGCCGCTTTGGGATCCCAGCCAGCTTCCAAGAGTGTAGCAATAGCGGCCCCAGTCGGGCCCGTGACATACGACCAGATCTTCGGGCCTGCAATGGTCAACCTCGTCTTCAGCAGGGCCCACGTCCGTCGAATGCGCTGATGGAGGTGAGGCTGGTCTTGCCAAAATCTGATCCACTGTCGCAAAGACTGCGCCCGAAGCTGGACTCCAGGATCCGCTCCGTCGAACGTGGAGCCAAGTAGCGTGGTTAAGCAGCGCCCCGCAGCTTGACCCGTGGCGGCTGCTGCTGCCTGCCTCCTCCATCTCAACAGCGCATGCCGAGCCAACCCTCGGACTTGATGGCCATAGACTCCCTGGGGCAAGGCGCCTGTGGCCCACAGGCCCTTGGCTATACGTGCCTGCTGGGCTGTGTTGCGCATCTTCACTATGCGCTTGGTCCTGGCAGTAGCCGCTCGAGCCCGTTCACCAGCTTTCTTCTGAACTCTACGCGTACCAGCTGCCATGTCGATGCCCAAGTCGGTGGCCGTCGTCGTAGCCGAGACAGGCACTCCGCGGCGTCGAAGATTGCGCTCCAGCTTCACGCGCACTTGCTTGTTGTTAGAGAGGACGACGGTCTTGTCGGAGACAGGGAGCTCAGCATGATCCAGAGCAGCCTTCAATTCGGCTCCCGCCCTGGTCAATCGCTGCAACACTGACGCTGCCGTGCCTTCCGATCTTGCCACCGTGTCATCCACAAAGGTCCACATCGCAGCTCCCTCCGCCCGTCGCTGGGCGCGCGCGAGGATGGGGAGCAATAACAGCCTCGCCAGTATGACACCACGAGGGGAGCCTGCAACAATTCCTTGGAGAGCGTAGATGGGCTCAGCGGTCCAGCCCTGTGCTCGCAGAATCCTGGGGCTAAGAAAAAGCTGAACCTCCAACAGGAGGCATATGGCAGGAAACTCCTCATCCAATCAAACCTCGATGAGCCTAGCCAACTTAACATGGTCATAGAACTTCGCCAGGTCCATTAGTAGGGTGCCAACTGTCAGGCCCATGGTGACAGCCGGCTCGTCTAGAAAAGCTCGATGCAGTGCTGCAGAGAGGGCCGATGAGCCTTTCATCGCAGTACACCAGAAGCCATGCAATCCATCACTCCACATATCTGAAGCGGCTCCTCTGATACGACTCCAGGTGCGGGCGATGTGAGGGAGAACACCTAGTACTCTATCACCTCCTGCTTTCTTCGGCGCCATGGCCGCCAGAGTGGCCATGACCTGAGGTGGCCAGACACCTTGAGTCTCGATGACGTTGAGCATGTCAGTGTACTGCTGGGGGGCCACATCAGGTAGGCGCAGCATATCCCGTGGCCCAATCATGTCCACACCCTTCGCCTTGGAGCCTGGCATGATAGACAGGGTGCGCTTCAGCTGCTCCAGTTGGATGGCATCGGGGGGCTCCTCCCTAGTCTGACGACGAGCCTTATCCAGAGCATCCAGAATATGCTGCTTGGTCTCGCGAGGTGTCCAAGCCTTCTCCCACTCCTGCCGCTTCGCATCCATGATCAGGTTCGGGTTGGAAACCGAAGTGCCACTGATGTAGATCTCGAGCCTCTGTTGCTCCTGCGGCTTGACCTGTCGATGCAGGACTCCAGGCTTCGCCTTCCGCATGTCGGCGAGCCAACCCGAGTACTTCTTCTTGGACTGGTACGCGGCATGAGCGGCAGCGCGGCCTGACCAAGCCTCAGTGCGGCATATGAGTTCAGATCGTTCCTCGTCATCTAGGATCGTGATGGTGCGTACCAGCTCAGACCATCTGAATACCTCATCCTCCTCGACCTTCGGCAGCAGTAAGTCTCTCTTCCCGTGGAAGTCCGTGACCCTCAGCTGCAATAGGGTGAGGTTGGACCTTACGAGGTTCTCATGCTTCTGATGCTTGCACAGCGCGATAATCTTCTTAACCAATGTCAAGGTAATGGCCCATCATTCTGCAGGCTCGTGCTTTATATGAGTACGTCCAGGGCAAGCCGCAGTCTTCTTCCATTGGAAGTGAACCCCATTTGCTCTACCAGAGTAGGCGGCTTGCTTCGCTACAGGAACCGCATGATGATTCAAAACCGTTGCCTCGAAGGTCGACAGCCACTTGGCATAGTGGGTCGAAACAAGCGTGGTCGCCTCAGGGTCCCTCTCATGCAGAAAGTGAGGAGGTAGACCCCAAGATAGCTCAGAAGGCCTCGGTTGGGTCGCATTCATCCTGACCGCAGCTCCATCAGTACAGGCCCCGACCTTGTCGTACAGCTCTAAGGGGGCCGAGCGCGCTCCCACGATTTGGGGCCCGTGGTCACCCGTATGGGCTCTTGGGGTTCCCGCCCCCCTTGATAACATAACATCCAACTCCTGAACCATCCCACGAAAGACCAATGGGGCCCCCTCCAGCAGGCGAGTCCTCCCTGGCGGGTGCTGCGAGCCTGCCTTCTCTGGGGGCCCAGCCGTGCCGTAGGTGTTCAGCGCGTCATTCACGTCGAGAGTGCTCCACTTGTCTCTCGAGGGGTCCGTCGCGTGCATGACAGTATCTGTAACAACTCCATCCGCGCCAGTCCCGACGTTGTCGAGCAGCTCCGAGGGGGGCGAGCACGCTCCCACGATTTGAGGCCCGTGGCCACCCGTATGGGCTCTTGGGGTCCCCGCCCCCCTTAATGGCATGTCATCCATCTCCTCGACCGTCCCACAATAGACAGATTGGGCCCCCTCCAGTAGGCGAGTCTTCCCTGGCGGGTGCTGCGAGCCTGCCTTCTCTGGGGGCCTCTGCGTGTCGTAGGTGACCAGCGTGCCATTCTCGTCTGGCGTGCTCAGCGTGCTCCTCACGTCGTCCTGATGCCGCCTCCAGAGATCCAGAGGAATGGCAAAATCGACGCCGCCCACATAGTCAACATCCGCTGCAACCAAGACTGGAGGCGCAGCTGCATCCTCCTGTGACTGGGTGAGCTCATCAAACACCTCCTGCAGCGTGTCAGGCAACTGGTTGCGCCTCTTGTCTAGCGCTGCCTTCTTCCTCAGTGATGTCTTACTGTTGGGGCCCGCCTGTCTCTGCGGCCTGGGGGGGGGGAGGCAAATCTGCAGGGAGTGCCAGAGCACGAAATCGCCAGGGCTGAGACTCGCCCGCGCAGACCACCAGGCCGCAGTGCGTTCCCCACGGTACATCGTGCACCTGGCGAATGACCGCAGACATCTCCCAGCCGCGCTTCACCGCCGCGTAGTCAATGGTCGAGCCCGAGCCTTTATCGCACGTTGCAGAACCAGGGGCCACCAGAATGGAGCCACCCCACTCCTCAGGGTAGCCGCTGTCAGCCAGTTGACACGGTGACATATTCCAATCTGCTAAGACAACCCAAGGGTCCGCCAGCATGTCCAAGAAAGCGGTGAGTGCAACCATCCGCTCATGAACTGGGCCCGTAATCGAGTGGTGCGGTTCGATATAAAAGGCTATCACGACCAAATTGCCCGTCTTGCGATGCCACGTCATCGGGGCGAAACCATGACACGGATCAACTGCGTACAACTGGCGGCTCTGGTGTCTCATAGCGTCGAAGGTGGAAGCGGCCGCCGACTTGCGAGCTAGAACCATCTCTCCGCCCTTCGTGCCCTCTGCAGATCGACCCGTCGGAACTGCATAGCATTTGGAGGACCTCCAATCATCCTTGCCGATCTTAAGAAACTCATGCTGCTGTTTGGCCTGCGAGATATGTGTCTCGACCAAGGCCAGTAGCTGATAGCGCTTGCCAGTGGGCGCCGCCCACCGCTCAGCCTGAGGGCCCCATTCAGTGATGTTCGAGAAGAACAGCTGGGCCTCTTCCACAGTCGGCTGAGCGGCGACGGGGCTGGCCTCACTACCCCCGCTCTGGCTGAGCAGGAGCACCAGCGCCAGCAGCCAAGCCAGCAGCCTTGGTCTTGGAGGTCTCGGCAGCCTGGCGCAGCGAGTCTTCGGAGAGCGACTTGAACCACTCGTCGTCCAGCGGGGGCTGAGGGGGCACGGGAGCTGGGGCGGTAGCAGCCCCTGGGGTCGCAGGCATGGCAGGTGGGGCGCCAGCGCCGCCGCCGCGGCCTGCCTCGACCGATGGCGCCTCATCGCCTCCCTCCTGGCGCCTCCTCTTGGCGACGCGCTCCTGGTCGAAGCGCTTGATGGACTCCATGAGGTTCTGGAGCTTCTGCGCCGCCGACTCGAGCTGTGGCCTGGCGGTGTCGAACTCCTTCTTGTACTCCATGAAAGTCTTGCGCTCGTTCTCGTCCATGTCCGCAGGGTCTGCGGTCTCGAAAATGTCGTAGTCGATGATGAGCTTGTTCCGCTGAGGTGCTTCGCGTGCCTGCTCCGTCTGTAGCGTGGAGAGCGCCTTCTGGTAGGCGAGCTCCGCCATCGCCTGCTGCTCCACCTTGGACGCGTGCACTTCTGAGGCCGTCTCGAGGTCGGCGCGGGCCCGACGCACTCCTATCGCCGCCTTCTGAGTGGCCTGCTCGGTCTTGCGCAGCTCCTGCTTGGCCTTCTGCGCCGCCCCCCAAGCGTCCGTGGGCGGCGGCTTCTTCGCCTGCTGCAGCTCCGTCTGGATCGCAGTTGCCACGGCAGGGGGAAGATCAGCCTTGAGGAGGTCGCGCAGCTTCTTCTCATTGGTGCTGGAGGCATCGTTCTTGTGCCTGGCCACGGAGTTCCAAGGCGCCCACAGCTGGACTGTGTGTCCACACTGGCAGACGCAGTCCTGAGCGATGAGCTTGGTGTTCCAGATCCAGTTCTGGCAGCCCTCGCAACGACTCCAGGCGCGGCCATGCTTCTTGCCTCCCATGAATGCAGCAACACACTCAGTGAGGGAGCCCAACTCCTCGGTGTAGGCAAGAAACTCTGTCGGACGCAAGCGTCCTGGCACTGCCGCGGAATAGCGGTATCCGTGAATGCCAATGCGGGCTCAGCCCGCCGAAGCATCAGCCTTGAGCCAAAATGGCTACGGAGGAGGAGGAGGAGGAGGAGGGGGAGGAGGAGGAGGAGGAGGAGGAGGAGGAGGAGGAGGAGGCCTCTCAGAGGCCCCAGCGACAGCAGACAGAGGACACCCACGAGCTGCAAGACAAAAGGTTGCCGGATGGAGGGCTCCCCGCCGCAAAGGCAAGCAACAACGAAAAGGGGGGCCAAAACGACCCAGCCGCGTCCACTACCTCCCCCCGACGGGCCCCACGGTGCATCGGCCGCTCGATACCGGGCGCGGGTCCTTTGCGGCGACGTTGCCGTCAATCTCTCCGCGCGTGGGAGGTGGTGGCAGGGGGGCGGAGGCCTGCGGGCGGGACCTGCCTTCCAACGACGACTGGGCGACGACGACTCCCAACCCGTCCTGCTCCGCAGTGGCCAACAAGATTGACCGAGGCGGCCCTTCCCTTCTACGGGATTTGCCGCGACCCACCCTCGCGAAATTCTCCGCTCCCTTCGGGGCTTCCCCGCAACATCTCCCTTTTCAAGGAGCGGGGATCGATCACGCAGTGATGCCCACATCTCGTGCACATCGTCATGAACCAAGGTGGGAAATAGACGAGCATGTGGGACTCATGGAACTCAGCAGCAACTCTCCTCGCGGCATCGGGAGCATAAGGGCAGCTGGGAACAGACAGTGGCTGCGGGGGGCTGCGTGTTGTCCCGCAAAACTCACCAAGCTGAGCATCGGCCACAACGACTTCACACGCAGCGCACCACCACCTCACACCACCACGCTCAATCTTGTGGGCCGACGCTCGGAACATCCTCTCACGCTTGCGGAGTCTAGGCGCGCGCTCTGGGCGGGAAGAGGGAGGCAACGCTGTTGAGGCTGCCATTGAATTGACCATCGCGCGTGCCGCGCGCTTTCTCACCAGCGGGGCCGCTCAATCTACCTGATCCGTATCAGGAATGCGGCCTACAAGAGCCCTTTCCCCCAACTCCGCCCCCGTTCCCGCCCGCAAATCCGCCGTCATATTTCCGCAGGCGAGAAAACATCCCATTCGCTCGTGAGTTGCTCTGGCGACTCATCGAGGTGGGAAGGTGTCCAGATGACATCAATCGGGGAGCGGCCTTGTCTCTCAAGCCGAACTTAGCGCGCGGGGGTCCAAAGGTCCGCGTTTGGTCCCGGTTTCCGCGGTCCTGCCAACTGGGCCCGCCAAACTTTCAGGTTGGCCAGGTGGTCCGTGACGGACACAAACGGGCCCTGGACCTCTTGCAGCGCAGTCGAAAACGCAAAAACGTCCGCCCTGGGGACCGTCCGTTTAATTCCTGGGAGCGGCTTGCAGACAACAACCCCGAGGGAAAACTCACCATCCTTGTGGAGGCGATCGCAGATCCACATCTGCGTCGGCGGATGTCGTCGCTATTACTCCCCCCCTGTGACGTCGCCGAAAGCATGCGCGAACCCTCGAAAAAAAGGCGCCGCGAAAAGTCTTCGGGCCCCAAAACCTCTCCCCGAGTCCTCGAATCACCTCGTCGTCGTACTCAGGGTGGGTGAACGCACGAGGAGGGAGGCCCCGAAGCCAAAGACTCGACTCAATGTTACATCTCGCAACGGCCAAAGGATGCAACGCTTGCGACAACAAGAAATCCTCATGCTGACAATTCTGCTCACATGTCCAGATGCGATGCATCAGCGTCCCGGGCTCTTTCCCGCAGCGGACGCGCACAGGGTCAGCCAGGTAACCCTCGTCGATCGACGAATCTCTGTCGTGTCCACTGGCCGCTGCTGACCACAGTGACGTCGGTAGCTGCGAGCTCCACCTGTCCAGAACTTTCAAACCGCCGCTATTCTCGCGTGACCTGATCTACGTCGCCACCAGCCTCGGGCCCTTGTCCAGTTTCGCGCTTGGCAGCAGCCGCCCAAATATGTCCCCTGATATCCGCTTCCACATCATCCAGCAGCGGTCGGTCGGAAAAAAACAACAAAAAACAAACAAAACAACGAGCCTAAGAGTTATCATCGCGCGCGCATGGAACATCCAATTGGTCCACAGGGTCGTCATCGTACTGCGTAGGTCTCAGCCGCGACGTCGCCGCAACACGGCGCAGGCCAATGTCCATCAGCGTAGCTAGCAGCGCCGAGATCGGGCACCGCACCGTGCTCCATCGTCTCGTAACCGATGCCCTCAGACTCGTGCGGATCCCTTCCCAAGACCTGCTGCTGACACGATCATAAACTTCAGGATGCTGCTGCCGCGACGCAATCCATTCCTTTGCAACCTGCATCGGCGCCGCAACCGCCAGGTCCAGCATCGACTCGCCGCGCCCAATCGTCGCAATCAAACATCGCCCCGCAGCCTTGCCTCCCACAATGTCCTGCTTGCCGCCGTAGCTGAAGCACCGTCCCTTTGCTCGCACCCAATGCGTTATGCCCGCAGAACGCCTGCGGGACTGCACTGGCACTCCAGAGACCACCCGATATCTACTTCAGAGCACCCACTCGTCGTAAACGTCGTATCTCGCAAGTTCCCAGCAACGCTTTCCTCATTCGCTGTGCTTGCTTTGCCGTCGTAATCCTCCTGCCAGCTGCTGCGTCCAATCCCAGATCAACAGCTGCGGCCTCCGCCGTCGCAGGTAGACCTACATGCCGAACACGCCGCGCAACTCGCGCCGCGACTGCAGGGTTCGAGCCAATCAGCACTGTCCCGGGCAAAATAGCCATACGTTGATCCCCCGCATCTTCCCTGAGTTCTAATGCCAAGTCCACCATTACCTACCCCACCGAAGCACGACTACCTTCCCATCTCGCCGTCGTGTCACCCGCGAAAGTCCAGAGGCCCGCGCCAGGAAGATGCTTGTAACAAAATCCCAAATCGGGCGCGGGTGCAGTTTAGCCCGTCCAACTCCTGCCGGCGCCCCCGCAACAATCGACCGCGTGGGAAAGGTCCGCCTGCTCAACGCCGACCTTCCCTGCAAATGCCTCGATGCCAAAAACACGCGTGCTTCCAATGAAATCAACGCTGCTGGGTAGCCCGCGCGACGAGCAATGCGCATGGGCGTCAGCAACGAAACCGCAGCCAAGAACTGATCGATGTCCAGCAGTAAGGTCAGGGAAGTCACGCCCAGCTCCGCCACTGATTATCGAGACACGCACGTAGAATGCCACCCCGCAGCGCCGAATAACTTTAGATGGCGGTGTTTCAGTGGTCCGCGAGGCCGTCTGACCAATATTCATTGAGAGTCGCGCGCGCCTTGCTCCAAACCTTCGGCGTCAGAGGCGCCATTTCCAGAACGCGCCCCCCCCCCCCCCCCGATGGGCTCGCCAGCCAGTGCGCAACGTTTAACTGAAAATTGTCTCGGCCAAGTACAGCGCTCCTCGCATTATCTGATGATCGCCGTGAACCATTCTCTGGCTTGAACTGGCAATCTGCGAGCCACCGCGGGGCCAGCGCCGTCGACCCCAATCGCCTTCGCGCCGCTCGCGGAATTGAGGATCGCGTCAATGTGATCCACCGTCAACTCAGGCAAGTCCCCCTCGTGCGCCTCCTTCCGCAACTGTGCCAGGCGGGCCATCAACTGGTCCGTGGTGTCGACGGGGTCCTTCCAGATGCCCTCCCAGAGCCGTGCCTTGGGCTCCATAACTGTGCCGGGGTCCACCACCCGCCACCCTCAATTGATCGCCGGCTCGAGCCGCGCCTCCGCCTTGTCCTTTACATGTCTGTGTAGTGCGCCTGGTTTCGATGACCACATCTGATTCGCCCATCGCGTAACCTGCGGGCGATGCGCGGTGAGGCCACGCGCTTGGGCGACCGTGCAGTGGCGCTCCGTTGCGTCGAAGAGGTCCTTGGGCTTGTCCACCGTGCTGTTCTCCACCGTGCCCAGCTGCAAATAGTATTGCTCCCTCTCCGACTCCGTGATCTTATGGCCAAAGACATCGTCCTGTCCCATGTCTCTCATGTGGTGCAACTCCGCCTTGAGCTTCTTCGCGCAGGTCTGTCGCTGCTACCCGTCCTTGTTCGCCATCCACAGGGGCAGATACCTGTCGCGCGCCGTCGCGCAGATGCCCCAATGCTCCGCCGCCGCATAGCGCATGCGCGCCCTGCCAGGCGCAGGCCTCGATCTCGTCATCTTCGCGCCAAGGCCCGCAGCGCGGCCCCGGCAGCGGCGGCGCTGGGGCTTGTCTAACTTTCGCGTGGTCCACGTCGCCGATTCCACCGCCGAGGCCCGAGTGTCGCACATGGTCGTCGCTGCGCCCTCCTGCGCCTCGCGACCCTCCGTGGCGCGGTAGAGGTACTCGCCGGTCGCCTCCATTTCCTCCGTCAAGCTAGAAGTGCGGGTTGTCGTTTCTGAGATGCCACTGCCAAATGTCCGACGGGGCGAAGTCGGGGGCCTCCTGCTCCGCGGGCTCCTCCGCGCAGACTTCGTCGAACATGTCCTGCAGATGCGTCCCCGAGCTCTGCTTCTCCCTCCTGGCTGCCCCCTGCAGGGCGCGCGCGCTCGTCGGGTCGGGCTGCGCCTTGGGCCTCGTCGGGGCGCAGGGCTGCCCGGGCAGCGCCGCCGCCCGACGCCGCCATGGCCTCGTTGATCCTGCCGCGCGAAGTCGCAGCTCGCAATGCGTCCTCCACGGCGCCCTCGGCGCCCCCCCAGTCGCAGTCGAGGAAGTAGTTCGCGCCGTGCTACGCCATAGTCTATCCAGCTGCCCTTGCCCTTGTCGCAGGTGACTTCCACATCGGGCCGCGGGGGCCCGCCGCCAATCTTCCCCATGAATTGACGCTGTCCATCTTGCCGCGGGGGGATATTCCAGTCCGCCAATGTTGCCCACTGATCCGCGATCGACTGGGCGAAAGCGGCACAGGTCTTCGCCCCGTCAAAGTTGGCGCCACCCAGGCCGTGCTTCGGCAGGAGGCGCGCCGACGCGAGCGCCCGGTTGCCACTGCGCGCGCGCGTTCACCGATGAGAAGCCCTGAGCCGGGTCCTTCACGCCCCCTTGCTCGATGCGCGCCCTAATCTCGCCGTGACCTGTAGCCGCCGCATGCGACCGAATAGCAGCGAACTCGCCCCCCGAGGCGCCGTGCTCCGAGCGCTTTGCAGGGGTTGCTGCCGTCGCCAGTAATCTCCATCTATCTGCAGCTAACGTCGCTTTCTCCTTCGGAGTGTCCTGCTCCGCCACGCGCGCCTCGCACGTCGTGAAGATATCCGCGTCGTTGCCAGACTCGTTGAGGTACTTTCGGGCCAATTGGACCCATGTGGTGATGTTGGCGAACGAGATGTAAAACATGAGAATCATCCACGCCGCCGTCGCCCATAGCGTCGTCGCCGTCCGTGTCCTTCTTGGCGGTCGCGAGCCTCGCTGGAGAACCTGCTGGGCCCTTGGCCCGCAGACGGGCTCCGGACTCGTCCTTGAGCCGCTGCAGGGTGGCCTTGCGACGGGTAGCTGCAGCGGCTGCCTCGTTCTTGTCTGGCGATTCCCCTCCTGCTGGGCGCCCGCTGTCTGCTTCATCTGCGCAGCCGCCGTAACCGAACCACCAGGTGCCACAACCGCCGTGTCCTCCGCGCCCACCTTCCTGCGCTTCGCCTCCAAGTGAATGTTTCTGTGCGTCTCCATTGCCTGCTTCGCGAGCTCGCCGGGCCGCTTGTGCTATGTGCGCGCGTTCCTGACCAGCGCCGCCCGTGCCTGCATGTCCTTACGTGGGCAGTTTCTGCCTGTCCTCAGGCTGGTACTCCTCGATGCCCTCGGAGAAGGCCTCACCCACCTCCGGAGCTTGCCAACCTTCAATAGGGGGGCCGGCCTGCGGAGCGGGCTTCGCCTTGGTCGTCGCGCAGTACTCGTCCAGGATTCGGAGGTGGGCCGCCTCCGCCTCTTCCATCTGCTGGGCGGCGGCGCCCCGCACCTGCTTCGCGTCGCCCAACTTCGTCTGGGCCCCCAGCGGCGCCGTAGTCGCCGCGCCCGTGTCCTTCTGCGCCCGCCCCTTACTGTTGACCCCCTGTTTGGGCGCCGAGCTCTGGGGCGTCGTCCTCCCGGGCATCTGCGGGATCGTACCCTCCACCTGCTCGTTGAAGTCGCAGAAGGCTTGAAGCTCTTCTTGGTCTCGAACTTATTGATGAATTCTTCCAGCTCCGGCTCAGGCGTCGGCAATGAGGATCTCGTAATCCACTGCGGGGGCCTGGCCGCGCGAATCTCCTCGGGCCGTTGGCCCCGCCGCTGCGGCGCCGGAATGAAATCGTCGCACTTGTCGCGCCAGCCGCCTGACCGCTGCAGCTTCCAGTCGCGCGCCCACTCACCGCGCTGGCCGCGCGCCGCGCGCGGGCGAGAGCCAGGCACTCCGCGGAGCCGACCGCAGGGCGGCGGCGCGGAGCACGCCCGCCCGGGCTCGAATCAAACTTGATGCGGGGGCCCAAATTCCACGGAGAAGGCCGCGCAACATCGCCGCCGGGCTGAACAGCCTTGCCCGCCCTGGCAAAGGCATGCCCTGAATGCGCGGGGGCGGAATGCTTCCTTGAGCCAGATGGGCCACGGAGGGAGGAGGAGGAAGCAGGAAGAGGAGGAGGAGGAGGAGGAGGAGGAGGAGGAGGAGGAAAAAGAGGAGGGGGAGGAGGAAGAAATGGAAGAGGAGGGCGAAGCGGACGAGGAGGGGGAAGGCAGGAGGGGGACGAGGAGGCGGAGGAGGGGGAGAACGAGGAAGGGGGGGGAGGGGCGCGGAGGAGGGGGGGGAGGAGGAGAAGGAGGAGGAGGAAATGCGTTCTGCAAACAGCTTCGCGCGTGCAGGCGGCTGCGAATTTACGGTCGCTCTTGCCCTGGGCCTGATCTTTCGCGGGCCGCAAGCTTTTGTCTGCGCCGGGCCGCTCGAGAATGCGACTCCGCACCGCCCCCGATGGCGCGGTCGGGCCCCGCGCGCAACCCATCGCATGACACCAGAAAAACTCCACGCAATAATGCAAGCGCCGTCGAGGGCCGCGCCGTGGACTACGAAGGCAGTTCGGCATGAAATTACACGGTGGGTAAACATCGTACCCAGAGTAACTAGGTTGGGTTGCTGCCCGATTTCTTGAACCACTGCCCTCCCGCATCGCCGCGACCGAACCCATGCCTGCCGCGCGCTCGCCGATTATCCGCGCCGCTTGCCGCCCAAACTTGGGAATTACAGTCTGCGCCGATCACGATGTGCAACTTGCCCCATGCCCATGCACCTGTGTCGGCGATGCGGGACAATGCGTCGCGCGCAGGAGGCAGCCGCATGTCCCGTCCGTTGGGCTCTGCTTCGCCTGTCCGCGCGTGGCATGCGCGCGCTGACCGGCGCAGCGTTTAAAGCAACGTGGCCAGCGAACGCGGGGCAGCAATCCAAAACTACGTTGCATGATCCCAAAGCCGATCCTTGCATCAGTATAAACATGTCCACCTTCAAACGTAGAGGTTTCGCTGCCAGCTGGGCGCGTCGGCTCGTCGGCGCCCCATCCCGCTCGCGCTCGGCCGATCCCGCGGCAATTCCGCAAGCCTGTCGCCGCCTTCCGTTGTCATTACACGCGGCCGAACAGGCCGGTGGAAATCATTCTTCGTTCGGACGCCTCTAGCCGCACCGTGACTTGTTTGTCGGCGGCAAATTGAATTCAATAAGAGGTGCAGACAGCCGAAGAACGCATCGGATTCGGATGGGGCACAAAAAGAACAAGACGCGGCGCCAGGGAGGAAGGAGAAAACCTCGGGCAATGGAGCACGATCAAACCGTGAAGATATTGTACTTGCATGCCCAGGCGCAATCCCAGAGGTGTGGCGAACCAAAGGTATAGGGGCATGACATACAGCCGTGAGCCACACCGTGATAAGCCTAGACGCTGATGGTAAAAGTTGCGCTCGGCTTGTGGAATGGATCGGGCGCAGGCGTGGACATGCCAAAACATGCGGGACATATGGACATGTCAAAAACATGCGGGAAATAACTGCACAGAAACGAATGCCTCTACAGATAGCTTCAGGAAGGGCCAACCAGGCCTAAATCAAACGTGTCAAGCCAGCGGCTGGTACCTTTGGACATGTGTTCCAGAGGAGTTGTTTGCTTGCTGTTGTGTTGGTTGAGGCCGTGTCTGGGGTCACATAAGCCAAGCAGCAGGTTCAGCCTGGGGCCAACACAACAATCAGAATGTTCAGTTATACGATGAAGATTTGCTCAAGAGAGCGGGTGGTTTCATACACCTGACCGCCGAGGCTTAGGCTTCAACCCACGACTGCAAACACAGGCGTACCCGAAGAGAAATTCGTCTGTGGAGTGTGCCCAAGCACCTGGACTGAGCCGTTGCCCCAACACGACCAAGTCTTGCACCATGCACAACGGCTGGTATTTCGCAGGAAACATCACTCTGTTCGCATCAAGCTGGCCACAATATGCGGTAGCAGCGTCAAACATTGACGCTGGTCGTTGCCCACGCAAATATTGTTACCGTGTCTCACACGGCAATCTCGGCGACACCTATCAACAGCAAGAAGACGAAGGCGGCCGAGGAGGCCTTGACAGCGGGGTCTACGTCGAGACTCTCGTTTTCGAGGTCGCTGTCGTCTGGACTCCACTTCGGGCTCGGGCTCGGGTTCGGGCTGTCGTCGGTGCCGTCGTCGCTGTCACGCCTGAAGGTAAGATCCATCGCAGTGGGGTTCCTCCCGAAGGTCCAGCAGGGCACCCAGTGGGACCCCTTGTGAGATCCCTCCTGGGGAACTCGAGGGGGGGCCCCCAGTGGAATTCCCTCTGGGGCCCCCGGTGGGGCCCCGAGTGCGGCCTCGGGAAGGTCACAAGCGGGATGGGCTCGACATTATCTGGCCAAGGGGTTATGCGCGTCCAGAACTTGTGTCGTCCAAGCCGCACTCAAGTCGACCTCGCTCGGGCTCGAGCTCAGGCACGGGTTCGGGGTCATGCTCGGGCTCGGGCCGTCGTCGGTGTCGTAGTCGTTGCCACCTCGTGGGGAGCGAAGTCCAACCCAGCAGCAGGCCGTGTAGTCGCCACCCTCGGCGGCGGTGAGTGTGATGCACGTCCACGATTTCTGTCTTCACCTCCTCACTGATCCCGATCGCGGCCAAGGCAAGGCAGAGCAACCACAGGAGCGATGCCGCGAATACCGCCATGGCGGCTCGGACGGCAGGGGCACTCGGCGCGAGCGACACTGCGAGCAGTGGTTACTTGAGATAAACGGCCGTTGGCTCCCACTCTCGACCCCCAGATGGCGGCGGACATGCTGCAAGGCGCACGCACGCACGCACAGAGCAACGCGGAGGGGAAAGGTGAGAGTCCATCTTCGATTCACCTTCGTGAATCCGAGGCTTCCAAATTCAATGGTACTTCACACTGCTCCGCCAAAATCAAGTCCGGCTTCCAGGCCAAGTTTGGGACCGCTTGGGGGCCATGTTCGGTCGCGATTCCGATCCAAAGCTGGACCCCGAATTAGGCCGCTGGCCCCAAAGTTCCCGCGGTCCAATGTGGGAATCCGTTTTGGACCGAGTATACAAACGAAATGGCGAATGGCTTAAAAAGCTTGCCCAGAGGGCGGATGTACGGGAGCAGAAGCACCAGTCAGCGCCATGATTCGCTTCGCACGCGAAGCGCGCACCGGTCTTGTGGGCTCACTGGTTAAGACCGATCGTGGGCAGGGTGTCCGGGAGGCACAGCCCCTCCAGAAGCCAGGGTCTGGGAGGAGTCCCCGCAGCCATCTCACAAGAAGCAGGACTCTGTGGCGGAAGAGAAAAGAAATAGAGAGAGAGAGAGAGAGAAAAAAAAAGAGACTACCTATACGACCACCCTTCGGGTGACAAGGAGTCTCGGGGGGGAGGAACCAACGTCTCACTCGATCGGTCGCACTATCGATCTCACTATCGATCTCACTATCGGTCTCGCTCGATCCGTCTCACTCGATCGAGCTCACAATCGATCTCACTCGATATAGTTCTTTCGATCGATCTGACTATCGATATCACAATCAATCTCACTATCGATCCCACTATCGATCTCACATTCGGTCTCACTATCGATCTCACGATCGATATCACAACCGATGCTACAATCAACGTCATCATCATCAACATAATCGTCACCAACCTCATCAACATCATCATCAACATCAGCATCAGTATCATCGGGGCACCATCATCATCACCGCCTCATCGCCATCATCATCAACATCATCATCACCATCATCATCGGGGCACCATCATCGTCACCATCATCATCACAATCACCATCATCGGGACACCATCATCATCAGCATCGGAACACCGCCATCATCATCATCACCACCATCTCATCATCATCATCATGCACAACATCATCAGCATCATCATCGGGGCACCATCATCATCATCAACAACAGCATCATCAACATCACCATCATCACCGGGACACCATCATCATCGTCACCATCATCATCATCATCATCATCATCATCATCATCATCACCATCACCATCATCATCACCGGGACACCATATCATTATCATCGGGCAACCATCATCAAAATCATCATCACCACCTCATTATCATCCTCATCCGCATCATCATCATCATCACCATCATCGGGACACCATCATCATCACCATCACCATAGTCAACAGCATCATCATCAACATCATCATCACCACCATCATCGGGACACCATCATCATCATTTTCATCAGCATCAGCATCATCATCTCAATATATCATCATCAACATCATCAAGAGTATCAACATCATCATCATCATCATCGGAACACCATCATCATCAGCAACATCAGCATCATCATCAACATCATCATCATCGGGACACCATCGTCATCACTGTCATCATCACCTCATCATCATCCTCATCAGCATCCTCATCACCATCGGGGAACAATCATCGTCATCATCATCATTATCATCATCTACATTGTCACCACCATCATCATCATCATCATCATCATCATCATCATCATCATCATCATCATCATCATCATCGGGGCACACACCATCATCATCGCCACCATCACCATCATCATCATCATCATCATCATCGACATCATCATCATCATCATCATCATCATCATCATCATCATCATCATCATCATCATCATCATCATCATCATCATCATCATCATCATCATTATCATCGGGGCACCGACGGGACACCGGCGGGACACCGCGCCCCACCGGCCCCCGGAAAGGAAACATTTGGTCCGGCCGCGCCTCAGCCGGAGGAGACAGACTTTCTTCTCGCCCGCCCACACAGCTTCGCCTCGCCCGCACGCACGGCACGCACGAACACGAAACCGAAACAGATTTCCCGGTAGGGGGGCTCTCCGTTCCACTTCGATCTCACCCCCTCACCTCCGATAGTGGGAGAAAGGGAATGAGAGGGAGAGGGTGGAACCAGTGAAGAATTGCAGTGAGTGGCAACTGCACAAGAGAGAAAGAGAGGGAGAAAGAGAGAGAGAGGGAGAGAGAGAAAGCGGGGTGCATTTCGTGTACAGGCTAGCTATATGCATGTAGAAAAAGAGATAGGGCAGGAGGGAGGGGGGAGAGGGGGGAAAAGGTGACAGGAATGGGGGGAGGGAAAGAGACAGAGTGATATATATATATATATAGAGAGAGAGAGAGAGAGAGAGAGAGAGAGAAAGAAAGAAAGAAAGAGAGAGAGAGAGAGAGCGAAACAACAAAAAAACAACAACAACAACAACAAAAGAGTAAAACAGGAAGTCAGGCGACAAGAAAAGAACACCCACGCCAGCTATTAATGAGCGTAGGGGTGGCGGCAGCACCCCCAAGCAAAACTTCACCCTGCCCCCCTCTTCCTCGGTGAGCCGTCGAGGCGAGGCGCTGGGCATTGTCTTGCTCGCCACCGCTTGGTCATCACTGCAAGTCTTCAAGAGGTATGCGCGCTTTGCCACCTATTGGACCGTGCAGCTCCATGCGAGCCTACGCAACCTGGACAGCACATGAGGCGCAGGTGAGCAAACCTGGACTGGAACCCGCCCGCCGCCCGCGGGGTCCGCAGGCGCCGGCGGCACAGGCTCGGGTGGCTCACCGCTCGCTTGCCCCTCGTCTTCCCACGGGTCGAGCAGGCCGTGGTGGATCAGCAGGTCCTCCCAGAACGGCATCCTCGCAGGGTCCGCCTCCGCAAACACCCACGCGCCGTCCGGGTGGGCCTCTGGGCGCTCCCAGTCCACCTGCCCGAGCGACAGCCGCAGGAGCACGTCCACGGGCACGAACACGTCGGCGACAGGCAGGGGCGCGGCCTCGTCATCGGGAACCGCGCGGTCTCCTGGGGCGTCCGAGCGCACCTCCCACCTGAGCGACGAAAAGAAAAGGGTCTTACTCGCGATGATCCTACTCACGATCACGATGGCATGGCGACCCTACGCCGCGGCTTACGCGAACCGCCGGCGTGGCACACCGCGTGGAGAAGAGGGCGCTGACGCGCGACTTGACGTGAAAAGCTTGCGCGCGCATGCCCGCGCAATCGACCCCGTGTTCTTCCGAAACGCTCACCTGTCCACCGCGACGAGGGCGCCGCCTGGAACGCCCGCAGGCACCGCCACCCACACGCCCTGCTGCCCCGCCACGGAGTCCTCCGAGACCACCGCGGCCAGGGCCGCCCGGCTCTGCCGGCCCCCCGTGCGCAGCCACAGGGCCGCGTAGCCCGGCCCGTCCGTGGCGGCGGTGGCCAGCGCAGGGCCGTCCGCGGCCGTGCGGGCCGCGCCGTCGCCCTCGGCGGCCAGAGGCGGCGCGGGCTCCCCGCCGCCGTCCTCCTCCTCTCGGCGGCTCCGGAGGGCGTGGCTTGCAAGTGGCGCGGCTTGCAACCCGCATCCTTCGGCTTCGCGCAAGAGGGGCCCCAGGCAAGTGGCCTCTGGTGCGCGTCTTTCGGGTGGCGCGGGGGAGGGGGGGGTAAGGGGGTGGGGGGGGGGGGGGGGCAAAACCCAAGCACGCGCAAGACGCTGCTATCGCATGGCATTCAACCATCTGGGGGCCCTAGTGCCCCCGCACCAACAGTAGGTCTGGCGAAAAGGTCGCTCTTCCGTATGCCCGCGCCACGGGGGGCGGGCGAGGACCGCGAGGCGGCCTGACGAGGGCAACGTGGTGCCCCCCCCAGGCCCCAACGACGTAGGTTGCAAACCACACCCTGGCGTAATCACACCCTCTGTAGGCGCCGGTCTTCCTCCTCCTCCTCCTCCTTCTCGGACGGCCTCCGACGCCCCAGCATCTCCGCGCGAGAGCCCTGGGGCGGCACGTGGGCCCCCAACGCCTCACACGGCGGTTGATCCAGATGAAGAAAAAACAGCATAAGCATAAACTCTCGCCGGTCCTCGCGGATTTCCTGGAGGGAAGTTGGAATATCAAGTTGGCAAGTTCAATCAAAGACTGTTGAGTATAGTCGTATAGAGAGGAGGACATATGCTATACCTCCGTTGGTTGCGATAGGCCTACGGTGCCCACCTTTGGTGCTTGAAAGGCCCATGGGGGCCCTTCGGTGCCCACCCCGTCCCGCCCACATGGGCTTCGCACCCCCCCTATGGTGGGGAAGTGGGTGGGCGGGCCGACCCCCCTGGCGTCGCACGTACTACGCCTGGGGTGGTGGGAATGTTGGAAAAGGTGGCCCCTCCCTCCCCGTCACTCCGACATGGCTCAAAGCTCCCACAGTCATAGACCCAATCGTGCTGATATGCTCCATGTCGCCGTGGTACTGCCGCCTCAATCGTGACGGCAACGCCCGTACTGCTACGCGCACTCGTACTACACAGCGCCGCGCTGCTAGCCCCAATCGTGTTGGTAGCAATGGTAACGTTTGCACCCGCGCTGCTCAACGACGCAATGCTGGCCCTGGTCGTGCTTGTCACAGTGGCCGCGGTTCTCCAGGTCGCCATGTTGCTGCTGATTCGGTTGAAACCAACAAGTTGCACGAATCCCTCCCGTCGGTCCGATTCCTCCCAACCCTACCAAGGGGGTTTCGCGCAAAAGGAGCGTGGGGGTCCACAGGCGGGGGCACCTCGTTCCTACTCATCCGGAGAAGCCCTTCAAAAGGCATCACGAATCCCTTGGACGCGCCACCCCCCCGTGGCTCAAATCTTCCACCCCCAAGTGGCACAGCGCTCCCCGAAAATGTCGTGTTGCACCCCAATGGATCGCACGAGTACTGCTCACCGACGCGCTGCTAGTCCTAGTCGTGCTGGGAAGACCCGCGCTGCTGCCCGCAACCGTACTGCTCACTGGTGTCACGCTGGTAACGCATGTGCTGCTGCTCGTACTCGTGATGCTCTCCGAGGTGCTGCAGCCCTCCCGCCCTCCCCCTCCCAAGTTCCATGAATTCACTGGCATCTATGCAGGGGCTCTGGACGGCCAGCAGGGGTTACAAGTCCCGATCACGGTCCATATTGGAGAGAGGTTGAAACATCAAGCTGTCAAGTCCAATGGATGTGGAATTACGTCATGCAGAGTGGAGGACATATGCTATACCTCCGTTGGTTGCGATAGGCCTACGGTGCCCACCTTTGGTGCTTGAAAGGCCCATGGGGCCCTTCGGTGCCCACCCCGTCCCGCCCACATGGGCTTCGCACCCCCCCTATGGTGGGGAAGTGGGTGGGCGGGCCGACCCCCCTGGCGTCGCACGTACTACGCCTGGGGTGGTGGGGATGTTGGAAAAGGTGGCCCCTCCCTCCCCGTCACTCCGACATGGCTCAAAACTCCCAGCCCCAAGCCATACAAATCTTGTTGCAACGACGCGATGCTGGCCCAGATCGTGCTTGTCACAGTGGTCGCGTATCTCCGGGTCGCCGTGTTGTTGCTGATTTGGTTGAAGCTAACGAATTACACGAATCCCCCCCGTCCGTCCTCGCCCCACATGGTCGCTGGTGGGAGCCCTATGCTGGCCTCCAGCGTGGTTGGGCGATATCGCCCTGTGGTGGCTGATGCCCCCGGCCCGCCGCCGAGCCCTATGGTGGTTCTGGCCCCGATTCCTGAGCGGCCCCCTCCCTGGCGCGCGGAGCGCGTCAGGGGCGGCGCCGTGAGGAAGACCCCAGCGCAGATCCAAGACATCCGCGAGGAGCTCCGAAAGTGTAGGCCAATGCAGCTTTTTCTTCGTCGATGCTCGCGAGGGCCCGCCACCAGCGAGGCGAAGATCGGCTCCACGCAAGAGTCACCCTGGGCAAGAATGACCTTTGATGGGCGGCTTTTGGGGGGCCGCGGAGGGGGCCAAACACAGCCGCGCAAAGACGCTACTACCGCAACGCGTGAGGCGATCGGGGGCTCCTGTGGGCTCGCACCGAAGGTCACTCCAGCGACTGATCACTCTTATGCGCAGCCGAGAAAAGCATGCGCTTGGCCGCCTGGGACAGACCGGCGCCCCCGGCGCCGCGCAGAAGGGGGCCCGGGCAGCTCGCCGAGGAGCGCCGGGGCGACGCTGGGCGTCTTCTGCTCCTGCTCCTGTGGAGGGGGCCCAGGGACATACAAAACAAAATGCTCAGATTCCCAGGATTCCCCATATTCTTACATGTGCTCTTGGTTTTCGTACTTTCCCTCCCCACGTCCCATATTATCCCATATCTTCCTGGGGATCGATGCTTCTGCGTGTCTGCGCCTGCTTGTTTGGAGGAGCAAGAGATGGGAGCGAACAACGGCAGCATACACAACTCGCCGCGCTCCGCCATCCGCGGCGGCACCTGCCGTGTCCGCCGCAAGCCTCTTCTGCGCACGTGGCCGGCACTCCGGCCAGGGATGCGGGCCACGCCACGACTGCGCTGCTGCCAGCTGCAGCCGCCGCCGGCTGGAGCGGACTCGTGTGCGTCTGTTGAAGGGGCCCCAGGACACACAAATAAACACACACAAATAAAAAGATTCCCCATATGTTTTATATTTTCTGGGTTTTTGTCTTCCCCCCCACTTCCCATATTTTCCCATATTTTCGGGGGAATCGACGATTAATTGTGTCTGTGTGTTTTTTCCCCTCCTGATCTGTGCCCGTTCGTCCCTCCCGGTGCTCCTGCTCCTGCTGCGGCCGCTCCGAGCCCGGCGCCCCTGGCACAGAGAGCAGCTCACGGGAGTTTCCGGTCATCCCCATGGCGTCCAGTAGCGCGGCCACCGCCGCACCAAGCGGACATGCTGCATCTCCCTCACATGGCCCGATTGGGCACTACTGGTCGCTGTCAAGCGGAATTGGACCGCTAATCGGCGTCACCAGGCGCTATGTTGGTGCTACTGAGCGCTACTGTGCGCTAATTAGTCGCCGACATACGTTCAATCCAAGACGAACAGAAACTTCCGTGATATACAATCTAACCTGGCGGCTCCCGCTGCTCGACGGCCTGCTCTGGGGGCGCCTCCCGCGACGGTAGCTGCTTGGGCTCCTCTGGGGGGCAACGTCAAGCTTCGAGGTTCGAGGTTCGAGGTTTTCGAACGCTTCCGTTGGTTCTCAGCGGCTTTCCAGCCTCGGGATGTCTTTCAGCGGCTGCGCCTGGCCGAAAGCGCTCCAGGGGTACCTGGATCGTCCCGAACGGCCGCCAGAGGCCCGAGACACGACCCGAAAACTATCGGGGGCGGTCAAGAAGGGAGCGCCCAAGAGGGGGGGGCGCACATGATGGCCGGCGACATGTGCGCGGCCCAGGGGGGGGGGGCCGGGGACGTATTGACACCAGAAGAGGCGCCATGAAATCTGGGGAGAGATCTCCGGCCCCCGGCAGGATATCCCCCCCCCCCAAGTCATCCCCCCCTCTTGCCCCCCCCCCCCCCCCTCTTGGCCCCCGGCATGATATCCCCCCCCCCTTGTCATCCCCCCCCCCCCTCGGCCGCCCCCGAAACTACCCCGGGACCGCCTCAAGGGGCGGCAGCGTCGCAGCGGCATCGGCGACTCCTCGCCGACAGATCGACGGCAGGCCCCCGGAGGGAAGCCGCACGCCCAGGAGGGGGTGGGCTCTCGGGCCACCACCGCGGGGGCGCGCAGACATGGATTGGCGATCCACGGACTTGGCGCGCGGTCGCCAAATCCATGGATCGTGGGTGGTGCCCCACTCTGACCTTGCCCCTGGCCTTCCGCCCGAGGGCTTTTAGGCCAGAACTCCCGCATCCGGCGGCCGTTCGGGAGGATCCGGGCACGCCCAGAGCGCTCTCGGCGAGGCGCAGCTGCTGGAGAGCGTCCCGAGGCTGGGAAACCGATGAGAATCGACAGAAAGTTCCGAAAACCTCAAGCCTGCGAGGCCGAAAAAAAACCGAATGCTTCCAAGCATGAGCCCATCACCCCACGTTGCCCCCGTCCTTGGGTCAAAAATATCCCTGGACCTCTCCTGGGTACGTTCTGCCCAGAATCTCGAGGCGGATCAAGCCGTGGCCACGAGGTCTCCCCAGAACGATAAAAAGAAAACATCCCCAGACGGCGAGCCCCGGCCCACGACCCCCCGAACCCGCTAACGTTGCCCCTGGCTTCTCCTCCTCCTCCTCCTCCTCCTCCTCCTGCTCCTCCTGCTCCTCCTCCTCCTCCTCCTCCTCCTCCTCCTCCTCCTCCTCCTCCTCCTCCTCCCCCTCGTCCCTCTCCTCCTTTTTTGACGTTGCACAGACATGGATCGGAGATCGTTGAGTTCTCCTCCTCCTCCTCCTCTTCCTCCTCCTCATCCTCCTCCTCATCCTCCCTCCTCCCTCCTCCTCCCTCCTCCTCCCTCCTCCCCCCTGCGAGCTGCAGCAGTGCCAGCTGGTGCCTTTTTGAAGTTTCTCCTTCGTACCATTGCAAAGTGTTGAACGCTCATCTGAGGCATTGTCTTGAGTATGCGTTCCCAGTCAAGTCACCTCTTGTGGCAGGAAGCCGAATCAATTTTGGATTTCCACTGAGACCTTGGAACGTATGAACGCACGCACTTCGCAGCTGAGGAATTACATCAGGATCGGTTTCGCTTGTTTGAACCTTCAGAAGGCTTTATTGTTCCTGGTCTGGGCTGACATACTCCAGGGGCCATGGGCTTGTCGCCGCACATCGCTACGTAAGATCTCCACGCGCTCGCATGCTTTTTTTTTTCGCCGCGGGGGCACTAGGAACCGGCATCTGGCTAGTAATTATCTTTCGGCCTGCACTCAGCGAACTCTCCTTTTACTTGGACAGCTTGGAGCAGCCTAGGTTGTACAACTATTGCAGCTGTGAGGTTTCGGAAGCCTTCGGAAACTATCATTGCTTACACTCGGCTCTGGGTCCGGCAGTTTGGCAGCTTTTTGGAACCCCATCGTGTCGGGCAATTCGCTCTGGAGGAAATGCAGTGGGTACTTCCTGGGCATCCTGGGATAAAAGGCGTTGCTGCTTGCTGGATTTCTGTCACGCGCATGTCTGGCCTTTGTCTTGCTCTCGG